TTTTATTAATCTTAATAGTGTAGAGTAGATAACTTTGCTATTCTTGAGACTCGTAAAGTTTGACTGTTTAATTTAATTTTCCTGCTAAAAGTCGACTTCATTTTTATAGTCTAAAGACGTATTTCATCTGCCTGTAACTTCCATTTTCCGGGATAGCATTTTATAGAAATCTCTCATTAAAATCAACGGAAAGAACAATTCTTTGGAGTGTAAGCATCTAGCTGACTAAGCAAATATTTCTAAGTGATATCTACCTGGCGAAGCGGCGACCGTCCCTCTCCGGCACTCGCACTCCGCTGATTGCGAGCCTCGTGCCATTTGCATCAGCCATATCGCTCGAACAAGTACACTCCAATGCATATATCTTGCCTTACATTTCTGATAAAAAAAATTGTATGCAATATATTGCAAAATACGTACGTCACAATACACATTTTACGATACCGTAAATAGGGTTATACATTTTATAGCCAAGATAAATAAATGAAATTCGGTGTAAATTGTACGCAAAATAATAGTTATAAAAAATTTATCTTTGTAGGATATTAGTCAAAAAACGCTCTTAAAAGTGCTTAGATACGTATGGACAAGTATTTCGACAGCTGAGTGTACTTCGGGAAAGTGATCCGAGATCTATCTCGGCAGCATCTTAGTAATTTGAAAGCGTCGAGCGGCGCCGGGCCTCCTGAAAAACGAAAGCAACCCTCCGGAAGCCGTCTTCGGCTCGTAAGAATGAATCGATTGTGGTTATAACATCGACTTTTGTAGATTGTAGAATATTATAGTTGTCTGTAACAAGAATAATGTTTAAAATGCTATCATATGGAGTTGCAATGGGAATTCTAAAACTTCCGTGAAAACTATGTTTCAAACTGTGTACCACGGTTAAAGTTGTAAAAAGTAAAGTTTCAAACTTTTAAAGCTATCTCTGTGATTAAAGGATTAATAAAATATTCAAAGCTAATCAAATACAAGAGGCTTTCGTGTCGGAGTTTTACTTCGATCCCCCGGGAGCAGTGCTTTGAGCCTTTGAAGTAACGCCGTCCGCAGCAATATGCACTCGCAAACAAAGTCTACCCGAGGATGGGAGTTAGATATTCTTTATGCCACTTTTTTACTAGAAGTAACGGAAGTAATAAAGACTTGGAAATCCTAATAATAATCTAGCTTGTAAAATCTCTATAAATCTAAAAGCCTGGGATTAGCTATAATCGAGATAGCGGCACAATGGGTTTGTAAGAGAAGATCAAATTAAATGTTGTATTAATATAAAGGAACTCGCTTTTATCATATTAAATCCTGCTACTAACAACTAACGCTGTAATATCGTTGGAGTCATTATAAGGGAACTTGTGAAATGATGTAATGCACAAAGTTCCCTAATCTCAAAGGATGTCAACATTTCCTTGCTACGGTATTCATTCACGTTAGCTAATCCATCTTTTGACTTGGATTTGTCGACTGAAAACCAGCAAATGCTACATTTTTAATTTTACAGAACATGAATCGTGGGTTTTGTATACTAAAGACTGCTACCAAGCTACACTTATAACGAAGCGACCTATTTACAACAGCTTCTTACAATAGTTAAGTACTTTAATTTATAGTTATCTACCGGTTGCAGACCATCACTGTAATTTACTGAATTACTTTATACAACTAAGCGCTTCAAGAAGCGCCAATAGCCTAACGGTTTGGGGCACGGACTATCGATCTTCGACTATTGTCATGAACCATATGCTAGTACAATCTTAGATCTTAGTCGGAATTGTTAAAGGAAATATTAGTAAATTAACAAAGATATACTTTTATTTAAAAAACAACTAAGCAACAAAAATAATGCTTAAAATACGAACCAGAGAAACGGGTTTTGCTGACATCTTCCTTTATGTTAATACAACTTCATTGTACGGCTCTTATTCGTTCTATAATCCCACAAGGATACAAAGACCAATTCTGCCTATGGTAATCTTATAAAAACACGAACTAACAAAGTGACAGACACATTAAAGGAACACGAACGATCAAAATATCTCGGCTTTTTGTAATATAACAATAGCTTATTGTCAATGAAGTCGTTAAATGTTATAAACGAAGCCATAAAAACTTCGATACGGAATCGACACGCAATGCCAGTAAGCCTGTGTGAATTAAAAGATAATAAGCCATACGTGACAAATTTTAATAAGTGCCTGTTATGGGAGCGATCGTTACGATTAAAACTAGGATAACCAGGTTGAATATACAGGACTCTACTCACTGAATGACATTGCCAAATCATGGTTATTTTAAATTAAGACCACTCTTAGACTTAATAAACTATTTTAGGTTAACCCGTATCCTTTCAGTCATTTTTTCCCTATCATCGTACTTTTTTTGCTCTGTACTTGAAATTTACTATTCACGGAGACTTTAACACAAAAATGAAGACCTTTTTATACAAAATCCTCGTATATACCGTAATTTTTTAATTTACCATCTAATCTCTAGTAGTCTAGTAATCTACGACCATAAACACTAACAATCTAATGGGAGACAAAGACATCTAAATTAAGTGTCCTAGAAAAAGTTGCGTTGTGGTATCCCTACTCCATATTGTTATGGGCTGTGTCTGTGTATTAACTACGTACGAGTATACGATCAGTATACTTTACATCCAAACCTGACTTTATTTTTATTTTAAATAATAATAAACACGGAATTCAAAACTAAAAATGTAGTAAAAAGTAACAAAGCCCTAACCAATTCTTATGAATATTATGATAGTCTCACTAATTATTGTACATTCATTTACTTGCTTAAAATAAACAATCATTTCAGAAACTGTCATTTTTTCACATTTCGGGAATTATCAATTGAATAGTAATTAAAATCAAAACTTACCTGTAGTGTGTCAAGGAGTTCTTCTGTAAACTAACAGTAGTACCTACTCCAGCTACAGCATTTTATTGCATTGCGTTTTTCGTACACTTTTTCAATCAGTTTTTCGGCGGTAGTGACGTAAATCGTGTCTGGAGAAAACAAATATCGATGCAATATCCATTTTGTATTAATTTAACAGCATAATATTGCTTTTTGACCGACTTCCCAAAAAAAGAAGGTACTCAAGTCGTCTGTATGTTTTTTTTTAATTAATTTCTGGGTCCGTGAAATATTTACATTACCTACCTACCAGTTTTAAATCAAAAGAGGTCGCCATTTTGATCAATGGCCACTGTCAAATCTGTCAAACTTTAGACTTCACATTCGAAAAAATATTTTAGCAGTTTTTAGTTGAATGTTAGTAACAAAACTCAAAGAACAAAACAAATTCTATATTGTAATCGTGAGTTATTATATAATTTGGGAGTTAAATTCAAGGCGTTAAAAGTTCCTACTCAAAAGTAAGAAATATGGTTTGTTTTTAAATAAACATTTCGTGTGGTGCTGTGCTGTTGATTACAAATACGTTAACTACTGATTTGCTCGGATGCGCCTTCAGTATGAACAAAACTCAGGTAAGAATTATATTCTATTCAAATAGGTTATGTCGCCTTTACAAAAAAATCAATATTTTGCATTTAAGTATTTTAATTTCACAATAGCAGTCACAAGCCCGGCTAGCTCAGTCGGTAGAGCATGAGACTCTTAATCTCAGGGTCGTGGGTTCGAGCCCCACGTTGGGCGAAATATTTTTGAAGAAATTTTCAGATGTACTTTTTTATTTTATTAATAATACTGCTTTATTTTATTTTAAAAAATCAGGCTTACAGTACAAAACACACGGAATGTAAGCAAAATTCTGTAAGACATAAACCTTATCTATTATTTTGTAAAGGTACATAACGCCATCTAGTGTAAAGTACTGTAAACTTATTACCTCTGAGAATCAACTCTTTTCATACTATTAATTTAACGTGTTGCTAGATGGCGTGCTGTCAAAACTGTTTATTCTAGTTCCTGTGTCAAAAATATCGATAAAATGTATATTTACTTTTATTTGTAAGTCTAGAACATGTTAATTGTAAACGATCATAATTTAAATAATGAATAATAACAAATACATTCAGAACGAATCCACCTTTTAGAAGTCTGTTAAAAAAGTAAAAATGAAATTTTAATTTTACTCAAGCAAGCAGCAAAAAGCCAACATCACGCGGTGTTCCCAGGCGGTCACCCCCATCCAAGTACTGACCGCGCCCGACGTTGCTTAACTTCGGTGATCGGACGAGAACCGGTGTATTCAACGTGGTATGGACGTTGGCGACTACAATTCCGTAAATAAGCTAGGCTATATACAATTAATTTGACTACCCTAATAAATTTAATTAGCAATGTTTTCTATATTCATAACTGCTTCTCAACAAAAAGTTTTTAACAATTTAAAAATTTTGGGGTATACAGTATTTTCTATGACACTGAAACTTAATTTTGGCGTCGCTAATAAGACATGCACGACTTGCAGTTATATTAGTATGACCTTCACACATACATTGAAATCTCGCTTCGAAACAAAATAAATGATGCACTTATGTGTAGTGAATGATAAGTATTAGAAAAAAAAGTCGATGGAAAACTAGCACGGTATAAATATTAATTCTAAACATTTGAGTCACAGTCATTTTTATTCAACAGAGTACTTGAAGACTACACCTAAATTTTTCACATTACTAAAATTCCATTGAACTTATTCGTATTTTAAAATTAATTTGCAAGACACTTGTATGTTAGCTAAAAGCGTGCACATCTATACTAAAATAATATACAGGAAAGATTTGTATTTTGTATGTATCAAAATAACTCAAAAACTACTAAGCCGATTTTAAAAATACTTTCACGATTAAAAAGCTTCGTTATCAGAGAGTGACATCGGCTACATTTTTTATTACAATTAATTTCACGTGGTCGAAATTGCGAGAAATCTTTAGAAAACTATCGCACACTTGTTTAGTGCACACTACTCGAATTTAGTTGTGCAAATAAACAGTTCAATTGGCTGCGAAACAACCGACAACCGCACAATAGTTTAGTCAAAGGTGTAACCGCTCTAAATGTCACATGTATTTATATTATGTCAAAGAATATTCAGAGAAAAGATTAGTCGGCTTGCATCTTAATCTTTACATTCAATCTGTGGGCATCTTTGTCATCTCAAACAAAATAAAGACGAAGTACGTGTACAGTCAGTAATTGCTTCCTTTGCGACGTTATTATTGTAATTTGTGTTGTTTATATAAAATACAGTTGACATGCGACGTGTGGTTTATTTCGTTGACACTTGTATACTTCGGAAGCCACATGGCAGTGTTAATATTACTTAGTGTTAGCATTCTGAGTAAGTAACCCTTAGTTAGTTTCTTTTCGTTTTATATATAAACATATGAGATGTGTAGTAATTAATTTTAATAGTCTTAAATAATGCTAAAATATTTTTTTTAATACTTTTAGTTGCTTCTGAATTAAGTCAAGCGATAAATACAAAAATGGATTTTGATGAAGAACAAGATCATGTTGTTACTGATTCGTCTAAAGATAATGAAGATGTCGAGGTGCAGCATACTATTGTCGTTTCAACGAAGTTAAAAAACAATAATCGAAGACTTCAAAACTCTCGAGATGGTGAGTATAACCTTTTAGTGCACATTTTTACCTTTTTGTTTTTGCTCCTTCTTAACGGATGTAAGTAAGAAGATACATTACTGATGTAAAAAATTGTTTTGCAAGCAAAAATTTAATAGCGATAAAAAGTTTTTGTGTGTTGCAATTACTTATTTAAGTTACTTAATTCGCAGAAAACATAAACTCGGCTCGTCCTTCGAATTTAAAAAGAGAAGATAGCGGAGAGGTTCCAGTAATAAAAGGTTACAAAGCAATAGAAACAACTCAAATATTTACCCCCGACACACGAGTTAAATTACCAGCTAACAATTTTAATACGAGACATAATCCTTTAGATGAGAACGACATTTATTCTAATCTAGGATTAAATCCAGTTCATTTTAAACCATCTAATTATTATAACATGAACTGGAATCAAGACAATGCGAGAACTTCTAACACATTCATGCCAAGAAACGATAGAAGAGGTTACCTCAACCAAAGAACTATAAATAGAGGAACAAGTGATGATGTTGTCAGAGATTTCTATTGTAAGAAATGTAATGAACTAAGCAGAAGGCAAGGATTTAGAGGTTGTGAGCAATTACGAAGTAACCCATGGTATGAGAATACAACACCGAAGTTGAAGATAAACGGAAAATTAGCGAAATTAAACTAATCGAGTCATTATTTTGTTCGGTACGCCGTGACCGCAGAAAAAAACAAGTTGCAGATGATATCTATTTGACCTTGAGAGAGTACAGACATTGTTCTTGTATTTTAAAGTTCATTGTCTCCAGTAAATTGAATAATAAATTAGAATTACTAATTTAGTTCTTGTACGTTATTTTTCTTAGAACAATCAGCAGATCCTTTACCTTGATGTTTGTGGTAACAATCTCTCATTACGTTTGTGATACAATATATTGAAATTATAATTGACATTAGCCCATTAAATACAACTTAGTTACTTGATACGTAGCCCTTGACCCAAGTTTCGTAATACAAGCGTAAAACGAGATTCATCCGTAATTCCGTTTTTATAACAACGTTCAATTAAGAATTCGAATCGCTTATTATAACACTATGAAGCTGAGAAATACAGGAAAACTATTATAAAAACATTATATTTTATATAAAAATATTTGTCTATTTTATCCTCTATTTATTTTTAATAATATTTTCCTATTATTTATTCGATGTAGTTAATCTAACTAAGGTTTCGAATTACAAGCCGATATGATAAGTTCAAAATACAACTACGATAAAATGAAACATTCAAAAATGTATTTATAATTTAATTTTTATAATAAGTTCATAAGCATTTTATTATCTATAATATATTTATAATATAAATATGAGACAATATACGAATGTACAATACAATTATGAGATATGTAAAATGCGAAAAATGGATATATTAGGTTATAAGAGACAGAGTTTAATTTCTTATTTTTTAATTATGCACGACGTATTTGGTAATTCTGCCATTGTCGTTGACCACAGTTTCAGCGCCGCGCTGGTTTTGTGGCACGCCGTTGTTGTTCATCGAAGATGCGTAAGATGAACTGGACACGCTGTAGAAACCTTGTCTGTTCTCAGGCGCTCTGTTCATCGTTGTGTCTACGTTAGGCATTTGCTGGAAAGTTATTTGCATTTATTAAATGTAAATAGATATCATACTAATATTATAAATGCGAAAGTTTAGATGGAGGGATGTTTGTTAGAATTTGTAGCCTAAACGGCTGAACGGATATCTATGAAATTTGACTTAGAGGATAGTCTGGAAGTGCACATAGGCTACTCAGTTTTGATTTTTTTAATTCCACGCGGATAGAATCGCAGGCGAAAGCTAGTATATTATACAATAAATCAAACTTTCAAACGAAATCGAATTTGGTTGATGTTGCACAGAAGTTGGCAAAATACAAATCTCTGTTCTTTTGTTTCCGTGATCATAAAATCATTGCTTCTTTTCTATATATCTTAAAAGAGACAAACACAAAACCTCCTTAGGTTTTTGAATGAAATCATTAAAGCTGCATTTCTATTTATCATAAAATTTTATCAGCAATGTAATTATACTCACTGGGTTCCCAGGATTGATGGCAGCCACCTGGTGCCTGAAACCAGGTCCGACGGCACCAGCAGCAAATGCACTGTTAGACCCCGACATATCAAACGGCGCACGATAACTGGGCCCAAAGTAGTTGAAATGACCGTACGGTGGATACCTAAAGTCGAAATTAGGAATGAAAGGAAAATTATTAAACGCGCCGAATGAGTTTTGTGCAGCTTCGAACGCGGCCCGCTGTTGGTTTTCTATGTTACCAAATATAGTATCCCTGTAATAAAGAACAATGTTACAAATGAAAACTAAACAAACAAACAAATGAAACACGAAAGGCAATGAAAGCGAAGAATGTTAGCCAATAAAAGACAACACACACAAAAGCATTTCATTTCTAACCTTAGCGTTTTAAAGTGTGGCAACGGTGGCAGCTGGGGAAACGGTGATAGAGTAGGGAACGGTGATAACAGTCGTGGCAATGGTTTCATAGGTGGCAATGGACGTAATGGCTTGAACGGTGTCAATGGTTTCAACGGCGGTAATGGCGGTAATGGAGGGAGAAATCTTCTACATCTATAAATTTAATTTTAAATTACAATTCTGTACGTACACGTTAGTGATTGTATTAGCAACTAATCTTAAAAGAAATCAACTCATTATTTCTGTTAATTGTAGCCTTATCTTGATTAACCCTTCACCTTAATAATGGAAACCTTCACCGGAAGCCGGTAGCTTCAAGATATTGAATCAAATAGCTTACTGCCAGTTTGTGTCAAATGGTAAGACTTCGTTTATTTTGTTTACGTTGGATGATTCTGAGGAGTCGTCGGCCTCGTTGATGTTGGGTTTATACACGCATTCGTACCTGCGACCAGTTGAATCTTGATATGCGAATACACCTACACCGTCGGGGCCTGGAGATCCTGAAACAGAAGTTATTACTGTATCATTACCTTCAATTTGTATAATAAAACGTACACCCAGTAACCTTTTGCAGACCTTTAAAAGTCATTGGTTAATTAAGAAGAAAGAACCAAAGGAATTTAACATAACTCGTACTTTCTTTGCTATTATTGTTAATGTTTTTTTTTTCTAAAAGTCGTTATAGGTATTATAAATCATGATTGTGAAAGGGGTAGCTGAAACTTAAACTCATAGTTACATAAACATAATAAATTCCATTCAATAACTTGAGAGCCTGTCCCACAAAATTGTACATTGTCTGATAAACAATCCAACGTGTAAATGATGGATTATTATCTGACAGTGACGTCATTTTAAAGCTGATCTCATCTGATCCTCTATCAGCCAGTGGTGGGACAGGCACTTAGTCTCAATAACCATTAGTAGTGACTATAAATAACGGGGTCTGTGATAAACACATCAAGTTCATTCACTATGGTATGGTATACGATATACGAAAGACAAACGCACAATAGATGTCTTTTGTTTATGTTGACGTATTGTTCTTTACAATGCTATAAACACAAATACGCATCATTAAAAATTGAATCATTAATTAACTGAAACTAATATGCTCGATGAAATGATAAAATTTATATTTACGTGCTGCAAATCGATTTATTATAATCGAAGAAATGTATGTTAGTTATAAATATAAAAACAATTGAAGTAAACCGCAAAAAAATCATTTACTCGATACATGACTCATCGCTATCTCTATTTTTACATAATGAAAGGAATGAAATTATGATTTTAAACAAATGCTTCGATGCTCTTGTCCCTAATAAGAGTTGGCACTATGTACTTCTCTTCCATACATCTCTATCAGCGGTATTCACTCCCTTACGCATATCCTTTATCACATAATCCATCCATATTTTTTTCAATCTTTCTCTACCTTTGTAACCATGCACATTCAATATTATTGCGTGAGCAATTATCGAAAGTCGCAATAAACCAAAATCAATTGAATCAGTCCTCACCGTAACAGTATTAAGCACAAACTGTTCTGAATACAAAAGATCTGCCGCCTTAAGTACAGGTGTGACTAATTTATAAGTATGAAGTATTGATATATTGTGTATTCTAGAAAAATCTATTTAATCGCCTCGCAAATGATGGTGCAATGTTTATAGAATGACGACACGATCCAAACATAACTGTTTGCGTGTCTTATAGCTTTTTACTGCGGATTTATGAGCAAATTAAAAACGTGACATCTTAAGAAAGAGATATCTTAATGGACGCACGGAAAATGTGTCCAAATATGTGACATTAAAATACCTAATACCTATCTTCTCCAGGTTATTAGCTAATTATGTTTATTAATTGTTTTATAGATTATGTTTAAAAGCGTTTCTTAATATCGATAATTGATAAAGGTCTTATATTTAGAAAGTTTATCGTAAAATATTAGCAAAAATAACAGTAAATATCTTGAAAACTAAACGCTTATAACTAAAACATAAATTAAGATATTTATCAATTAAGCCATCCTTAACATTAGATGTATGTTTTTCATTTTTGCAATTCGATATATTACTTAACCAAGAACATAATTTACAAAAAGAATGCCAATATTTTTCGTCTATATTCGAGACATCTTAATTTTTATTATGTCTACCGTATATGCTTATTGAATGACAAATGGCGGGATCGTTTTATATCGCGGTCGTTAAATTGGTTTTTCTATTGCTAGAAAGGCCATTAGCAGAAATTATAGCTGTAACGGTTGTTATATACCGAGATCGGCGCCGTTGATTCACTTATTATACAGTTAGTGCATTGTGTAATAAATTTAAAAGTCGCTAGATTTAAACACGTTTATGCACGGATTTATTTCAATCAGCGCAGCAGAGTATGAAAGTAAGCGAAGAAATTGTAGACCACGGGTTAGTAAACAAATTTTAACGAGGACGGACTTATAGGATGACATTTTTCCACAATTCCTTGAGTCGAGTTAGTAAGCTTTGACCCGGAATTTTAGAACATTCGAGAATAATCTTAGTTACAACCATTGGTTGTTTACAAGCTAAGTTTTGCGCATGGTATGATAAAAAGGAGAGGTTCTTTCTTCTAAGGGATAAAATCGTACAAGCTTATTTTAATTTCTTTGCTTAGTAAAGTGTATCAAATATGAGTATGGTTTAAATGATTTTGTTAAGTATAGTTGTAATATATGTGAAGTGCGCGTGGCGGATGCAATTTGTCTCACTGTAGTTATTCATGGCTCTTAACGCAAATGAAATGATAAGGCAGCTTGAAAATAAAATAAATCAACTAACGCTATTCTAGTTTATAGACCTCTTTCATTTTACCTGTTTCGTTGAGCCCTCTGACCTTATTGAAGTAAACCTTATACTATTTCAAGACACTATTCTAACATCTTTCTGTAGGAAATGGCAATTTATAGCTTTTGTTTTATTAAACTTTAAAAATTAGAAGTATTTAAGATTTTGAAGCTTTTTCAAGCTTAATGCGGCTTGCCCTTAACTTACCACGCGAAGACATGAAACGTGTTAGTAAAGAACGTTCAATACTACTCGGAAGAAAATCTATGTTCCTAATCGCATATGAACAAGGTTGACAAATTAAAGTTGGTTTGATTCGCTTCATTTCAAAGTTATTACAAATTGAATGTGTTTCATGATTCATACTAATTCATATTTCAAAAGCAACTATAATATTTTGATAGACATTCGGTACTTAGTATGTGCACGATGTCCCTTTCGAGTCAGCTGTGCTTTTGTTTTGAATTTTTTCAAGTTATGGCGCGTTGTATTGTGTGCCTTATAAAGATTATTAATTTTACTTTTACGTCACATGAATTAATCGATAACTTGTGAACTTACAATATTTTTTAAACGCTATTAGCCTCCAGAACGTAATTCTGCGGAGCCCCTTTTTACAATGCATAGGTTAACATATTTATGTGACTTTGCCCCCCATTTCTATACAACAAATGTTACAAGGCACTGTTGAACTTATTGTATAGACATTTTGTCTTACTAACTACTCGTTTAGACGAGCATTAATCAAGTATTTTTACAAAATTCAACCCTAAAATCATAAGTATTAGATGAAAATTTGTATGGTAAAATATTTCCATCAGCACGAATAAAGTCGCGGGAGACAACTAGTTTATTTATTAGACTATACATCGTTAACCGGTCTTGATATTTATCTATTTATAGTTGTGTGTTTACAAGTTAGGAATTTGTAAAAACCCTTAATTTAAGTAAATTTTATAAACTAATCTTGGTTTCAAATCACATATCAGAACATCTGTGAAAAAACCTATCAAGATTCTAGATGATATCCTTTTGTAGTATGTTGGTATTCATTAATTTTGTAAGTTAGTATGTGAAAAGAATGAGATGTTTATAGCATACTAAAATGGAAATAACCGGCACGTAGGAAACAATAACGGTTTTTTAATTTTAAAATCGTCTTGACATCGTTAAGGATTTAAAAACAATCAAATTTAATTTGAACCGTTAGTTTGTTAATTGACTTGAGTAATGAAAACAACTTTGAATCTACAATTTTGTGTCTAGGAACAATTTAATCAGCTATACTTTTTATGTGCGTTATACTTGTAAAAGAATATTTTAATTTAAAAAGATTTCAAAGCAGTTTAACTTGTTAATTGCGACTGTGACCGATGACCCACATTTATCTGCCCATAAAATAATATCCTCAATGCGATAGAGTTCACCTTTCACCATAAAACAAATTTTATAAAGAAAATTATCTTATCTAAGTAATAATTTGATTAATTAATAAAATAAAATCGAGGAATAAGTTACATGTAACTGTAAAGTAGTGGGTTTCAAACTATGTTCAACATCTATGCCAAATGTCTTCGAGATCCGTTCAGCAGTTTAGGCTACAACCATTAATTTAAACTTTCGTATTTATATTAGTAAGATTTCTACGTATATGATAGTATAAAAAAAAACATACAGACGAATTGAGTACCTCCTTCTTTTGGGAAGTCGGTCAAAAATATTATTATAAAGAGGAAAGATTTGTATTTTTTTATTTTTGTATGTATCAGCATAACTCAAAAACTACTAGACCGATTTTAAAAATTATTTCACAATTAAAAAGCTTTGCTATCAGTGAGTAACATAGGCTATATTTTTTATAATTTCACACGGGCGAAGTCATGAGCAACAGCTAGTAATAGTATACAATTAATACTACATAGAATTAGGTCAGTATTTCAATGTTAAAACGTTATCACCGTCGATAACCTCATTGAAGTCGGCATTGGAGTTTACGAACCGCGGGTTCAAGTTCGTAAGGTCAATGCAATTCAAGTTCACTGTCATCGCATACTTATTTGGGCCTACGTTTTGTGTACGTTAAGTTGATAAATGTATGTATTTAATAAATATATTTTATAAATACTATTTATATCCAATACTTCTTGACAGTTGCAATAGTGCATTCGATAAGCTGAACTTTGTGATAATGGGAAATTCTCGTCTTTGTTGGTTTTATTTTTAACTAGCTTTCGCCTGCGACTCCGTCCGCGTGGTATTTAAAGAAACAAAACCAAGTACCTTATGTGTTCTTCCAGACTATCAGCTATTATCTATGCCAAATTTCATCGAAATCCGTTTAGCCGTTTATGCTACAAACTCTAACAAACATCCATCCATCTATCTAAACTTTCGCATTTATAGATATCACTGAACTATTTCATAAAGTTGCTGTTAATTTAACAAAAATACACATAAGATACCCAAGGGTTTAGTCAGGGTTTTTTACGTTAACGCCAAAAAAATAAACTTTGCTTTATTGGTTAACTTTAAACGGAATCTTACACTTTTTATGGTCAGATTAACAAAAATAATAAAAAACCTATGTGTATTTATATAAATAAAAAGTATATACTAACCGTAACTCCAGCTGCATTGTAGTACAATAGCACTGACTAGATATACCACCTTCATCTTGATATGTTATGTCCTGTGCAGCCTCCGTGACCGAACAGCGCGACCGTCTGAACCTGTTTGCGTACAAATGTTTGCTTTTTAAAAACGTACGAGTATACTTTTACATGTACTGTTAATTGTCGTTGATTGTGATTGAATTTATTTTATACGATTAGATACCTGGAGTTTCTAACCGACAGACAAGTGGTCCGCACGAAGGACGAACGCTTTGTGTAGATATTTTGTTCTTGCACTGAATTAAATCTAACTAGCCCGGTTCGCCTTTCAATGGTAATAGAATTTGAATCTTATTCTATTGGATTAAAGTTGGTTGTGTTTTGATTTGATTTGTTTGTATAGGAATCAAAGATGTTTGTAAATAATGATAACATTTTAATTTGCGATCTTCAACTCAAGTGAGGATAGTCATATGTGTTGATAGGATATTTAGCAAGGGTTAATTATGTTTTTGATTGTTGGGACATAAACAATTTGTTACGTGTAAGTTAACTATACTTAAGATGTTTATAATAACTGTTTTTTTAACATGTGCTCTGTTTTACCTTGACTTTTTACCTAACCTAAGTTTGGTTCAAGTAGGTACTGTTTGTAGATGCAATCTGTTTTTTTTAATATACTTTCAAGAATTGTGTTTACAAGTAAGCATATATTGTTGGAATGTAATATTTCCCCTCTGTTTCTTTATTAAACAAACGATGAAAAAAATAAATGTAATCCTTTCGTTATGCTTTTTTATTTTACATAATTCTGTAGTCACGTTTTTTTCAACGTAATAAAAAAGAAGGATTTATTTGTATTTCATTTAGATAAAGATAGGTAAATGTAGTCACAGTTAGTTCAAATATATAAAAGAAAGAAACAAAAATATTTCGTAGATAAAAATTAAGTCAAGTTTGATAAAGCAGTGAAAATCCATTAAATCCACGGCAATTTTTGTTATAGTCCCAGTCCCTGTCTTTGCTAGAGTACAACTCGAGAGTCACGAGAAGTCCTAAGGAGCGCACCGGGACCTAAAACAACATCCCGGGATTTTTAGTAACCTTACCCATTCTTTATACGTTATTATATTACACTACTAGCTTCCTCCCGCGACTCCACGTGGAATTAAAAAAAAACAAAAGTAAGTAGCCTATATGTTCTTCCAGACTATCCTCTACATTTATACCAAATTTCATCGAAATCCGTTCAGCTGTTTAGGCTACGAAATCTAACAAACTTTCATCCATCCATCTAAACTTTCGCATTTATAATATTAGTATGATTAGTATGATACGTGTTCATTGCGGAAACTTTTTTGGTATAGTTTGAACAATGACAGTACATTTTTTGTTTTTCGTTGAATTTTCAATAACTAGACAAATTATCTGCGGACTTCCCCATCTATATACAGAATGTGTTAATTACAATGTTACATAACGTAAAATTCACTTATTTTGCTGTTAATATAATAAATGATGTCATTGATAAACACAATTGTTTAAAAACACATTTTATACTACTGTATAGAGTGCATATTTCTTTTACAATTTGACTTTTGAACTATTTAAACCAAATAGGTAAAATCAATACTTAACACTAATATTATAAATGCGAAAGAAATTAGATAGTTCAGATATTTGTAAGAGTTTGTAACCTAAACGATTGAACGGAATTCGATGAAAATTGGTAGAGTTGTAGAGGATAGTCTGGAACATAGGCTACTCACTTGTTTTGTTTTAATTCCACGCGGATTTAGTCGCGGGTGACAGGTAGTATTACATAAATCTGTTGCTGACTCTACCTTTAAAAGATCCTTTAAGAGCTAAAAATAACGATGCTCCTGAGAACAGGACTTAAAGTTAGGTCATGTTTGTACCATTAGCCGTATTCGTGCAACACGTTGCCTCGTACCATCACGAACACGGGATCTTGATAAACTTATATAACTACCGTCTAGTTTTTTATATGATGACTAAAGTCTGATCGAATCATTAGCAATTATTATGCTTAATGCGCACTTCTGTTGCTTATGTTGTTGTGTTTTTATGACCGATCTATCAACTTCAGCAAAGAAGTCCACACTCCTAAACGTAGGCTTGGAGAAAAAGATATTTTTTCCGTTTGTTTCTACCTTTAATTATAGTGTTTGTTTTTAATTAGAGAGTATCCATAATTTCTTAAATCCCATAATTTCCCATGAATTACATTGCTCTTCCATCATTCTACGTTCTTTGAGTTCAGCATACTCAATCGTCGATTCCGGGCATGTCTACTCGAGTAAAAAGTTCCTGCATGAGAATAATAGCTAAACTATAAATTTGCTTACAATGCTAATAAAATATGGTAGGCGTTTAATTCATTTAGCAAGTAATATTAATATTGTTCTTTTTGCATTCACTATACTAAAATATGCTGGTCCTACTTTCAGCTTTCCTCCACCCTACATTTTTTAACATTTGTATTTCCCTCACAACGTCAATTAACAAAAATATTTAAACCTTATAAGGAACATTACTAAGTTAAGTCAACTTTATTTTTATTTATCTAACAACCCTAATGTGGATTTATTTTTTGTTTTCTGAATTAAAGGTTACATCGAACGCAGAAGAGCCAGTTACCTTATACATATACTGCTCATAATAGAAATAAAACATCGTATACTTTTGCAAAATGATTTATTTAGAACTTACAACGAAAATCACAGCTTATGTAAATAACAAACACGTCTTAAATCTATTGATTAATTTTTATTTCATAATTTTCTACACTAAATTTAAAATCATACTTTTAATTTAGACACTATAAATGGTATAAAATAATTGATTGCAGTGAACTATTAATTAATCGTTATGTTTTTGAATATTTTTTTCAAATGTATTTTTGCTATTAAATTATTTCAATTGTATTATAATTTTTGCAGCTGTAACTTTATGATAAACATCGTTAAAAATATAATATATTCTCTTAACATTATTATGAAATAAGGTCAGCATGTTAAAAAGTGTCAAAATCAAGGTAACTCATATTCTTCGACCACTCCATTTTTGTTGATGATCCTACGACCGCCTCGCTGCTCACTCTGCTGTCCGTTCACGTTAGAATACGAATGGAAGCTATACTGAGCTTCTCCATACACTTTCGAGTCCGGCCCATCAGGCTGCAAGCTTCTGATGCTCTGAAAAATATACAAAGCATTGCTTAATTAAAATAAAAATTTGTCATAGATTATTTAACTCTGCAAGGCTTTATCGACATAGATTAGAACAAAATTTTAAATTATTTTGAAAACAGACTGTATGTCATAAAAAGTGAATATTGTAAGGCTAGTAAAGTGTAGACTTTAGTTTTATATTTGACTACCTTTCGCCAGCGAGTCCGTCTGCGAATTAAAAAAAAAACAAAAGGGAGTGGCCTATGTGTTCCTTAGACTTTTCTCTACGTGTATGCCAAGTTTCATCGAGATCCGTTCGGCCGTTTAGGCTACTAACTCTAACAAACATCCATCCATCTAAACTTTCGTATTATATTAGTAAGATTGGTCTTTTCTAGTACTAATTAAGGTTTTATATTGTTAAGATAATTTCTCAACCTTAACAATACTATATTTAGCATTAGAACTATATTATTTACATGAGGAAAATTGTTAACATTAAATAAACAACAGAAGTCAAGTTGTTATCGCTTATGTATAGAAATAAATTATTACATCGGATATCTAGAAATTATAAAGTATAATAAAATGGAGTTTGTATTTATAAGATGACACCATGTCATAAGATCGTGTATTAATCGATATATTTCTGTATTATAAATATTGATGCCTGTCATGGTTAATTCCAGTGGCACTAAAATATACGAGCTTCGCACATCAGCTCTTTGTAATATTTTTTACATAAATTATTGAGTAAATATTACATTAATAATAATTACAAATAAATGTATAATGGATATATATGCATTTTTATTCCCCTGGTAATAAAACTCAACATTATGCGACTTTTAGTATTCTATTATGGCACAATAAGATCCGTGATGGTATATAAAAAAGTTCTAATTTGAGATCGTATACACCGACAAGTTACCTGAAGCTTTGGCAAAAATGAAACTAAATTATGTTAGCCATTTTATGCCATTATCTATACCCATATACTAGCTATTCCCATGCGACTTCGTCCGCATAAAATTATAAAAATTTTATTACATTATTTACTTGTGTTAAATTATCAATTGCAAATGTCAAAATGACATGACATGACATGACATGATGACAAACCATGGCAACCTTGCTTCCTTGATGTTGGCAGCAACTTATGGTCTCTTTTCCACATTAGGGTTTTTATCTAAAATATTTACCCCTTAAGTTTAATGGCGTACAAATATGTAGCCTAAAGCGTGACGTAAGTGTAAGGCTTTTTATTAAAAAAAAGAGTTAATCAAAACTATACTGTAATTGCTGACATCTTAGGCAACAAAGAAGTGTGTGTTTACGCTTTATTATAATAATATAGATTAACATAACCAACTGATATTAGCGCGTCTAACTAAGCTAGATATCTTTGTTTGAATATAAATATTTGATAATACCATTAATTCATGTCGATCTTGTGCAGTCGTGCAGTATAAAATGTATTTGTTTGTAAAAAGAACCATCACGATTTAAAATCATGGCATGGATATATGGATTTCCCAGTTTCTTGTTACATTTATCAGAATAGGTTATTTAAACCGTCCTATATTTTTTCTTGGGCTTGTAAAAACTTGTAGGTAATGATGTATTTGTAAAAAGTATTCCGGTTGCTCTCTTGGTTGTCAAAATTCAACAAAAAAACTGTTTTCTCGGAACAAAAGCCTGTGTTCCTAAATTCGAAGTATGTATTTAGTTTTTCGCAGTAACTTCTATATGTGTATATAAATCACGTAAGTAATTTTCTATCGTACAATTTTAGGCCACTTAAAACAATTGAATAATCATACTAGTACTATAAATGCATAAGTTTAGATGGAAGTTAGTTTGTAGCCTAAACGACATGCAGTCTGGAAGCACACATAGCCTACACTTTAGAATTTGTTTAATTCTGCTCGAACGGAGTCGCGGACGGAAGTTAGTATGTTATATAACAAAATGTACTTACGTCAAAATTTGGTTTGAAATCGAATCCTTGACTCAATCTGTAAAAAAAAATAAAACATGAAAAACTTAACCTCTCTAACTAACGTACTCCCAAATTGTTAAATTTTGTTAAACTTCAATCTCGCTTGTTATAAAGATATTTTAATCATTTAATATTTAATAACGGTTAATTTGATTTTATTGATTAATTTTCAAAACATTTTATTCAACTTTATACTTAGTATATTCAAATAAAATTAAAACCATCAAAAGCGAATCAAACTGTAGTAATATTTACGCCACATACTCGTATTTTTTATTATTAAATTTGTCAATAAAGAAAGAAAGAAAGAAATCAGTTTATTCAATAAATGAAAAGGAATTCATTCGGCATGTGCTCGGTGTACACCGAAGCGCCGGTTTTCAATGATTCCTAAAAACAGAACACGCAGTTTTACAAAATAGTATAGTAAAAATATATTGATAGAAATTCGTAATTTAAGTAGATAAGGGTTATTTTTATATAAGTCTTTTTTCTTGTTTTTAAAGAGGCATTCTTTGCTCTGAAGTACGTTATAAACCGCATTAAGGCGATAACTCTATGTTTAACTAAACAAAGTGGAACAAAACGAGTTAGGTGGAATTACAGCGAACTGAATGCGATAAATATGATTAGACGCGCTCGATATCATTCAATTAAGCCACAGAAAATGTTGTTAGAATGAAAACTTTAGATGAACTAGATAACCTACTACTACTCGTATGATTGAATGATAAGGATGTGTAAATTGTTATATTTTAATACGAGCTGTCGCCTGGTCAAGCAATAAGTAATAAATATCATGCTGGCCGCCAAGAAAGCAATAGAAAATTCTTGTAATTAAGGAACGTAAGTCGAATGTAGAGAAAAATGTGACGTGAGCGATGTAACCACATTTTATTTGTATTAAATTCCTTTTTATCAATTTATGGGAATAGTTTGTGTGTTTTATCAATAAATAAAGAAGAATTTATCAATGGTACTAGTTTACATTTATTCATGGTCCTTCGAGCCGGATATCTCAATATATCTCGAGCGCAAATTAGACCAGCCGTTACGCTATTTTGACAGCGCGAAAATTTAAAAAAGGCCTATAATATGCCCGTCTATGTCAGCTACCCGGTGGAAGTCCGGTCGAAGTTGGCCCAGCCGATTCGGAACTTACCCGGAACAAACGTGGCTTGTGGACAGACAGACAGACAGAGAGACAGATAAAATTTTTTTTAATGCGATTTTCATTATCAGTGACGTAAATATATCTTCCCAAAACCTGGAACTTTTCCTTTGATATTACATTCACTCCAATTTTATTATATGTGTAGATGTTTTAAATTAATAGATTATTATTAATTATGTTAGTATAAGTGAAAAAGCGTTAATTTTAATCTATAATAATAATTTATTATTAATTTTAATGAACAAATGTGTCAGGGAGTTAAAACTAAAAACAAAGCTGTTACTACGCCTGGGGGTTGTCTCTACAAATCTAAGTACACCCAAAATATAACTTTTGTTTCTAAATTATGATCTTGCTTTTCCCGTGGTCGTGAGTATTCCCAAAAATTATATAATATTGTACCAACCGGCGACGCATTGATCTAAATTTCTCGTCAATGCTGTAAATTAAAGAAATATGTCACTTAAGAGTATTAAATAATTTTTCATAAATCACTGAAGATAGAGAAAGACAATATTTTTAGTATATTCTTTTCAGTAGTAGAAACTCACGGTTAAAATCACTGTTTTGTTTAAAAAAAGACAATCGAAATCCTTTCAATAGACACCATAAAATCCTATAAAATACTTGATTTAGCATATTTATGTTATTACCTACCGATTATGCGCTAAACGAAATTTGTTTCGAATGCTGAAAAATAAACATTTTATAATAAAAAACATGTTTATTATTTACTTTTATAATCTATATTATTGTTTTAATAAAATAATGATCACATTTTATTTTAAAACCTTGTTTAAACCAGTTTATAAATCAAGAATTAATCGGCAAGTGAACTATGTATCTGCAATAAGGATAATTGTAAGATTTCATTTGTGTTTCCAGCTTTATTATTTTTATTTTTAAATAAGTTGACCACGAAATCAATAAACAAAGTCTTAAAAAATTCTATAAAAAATGAAGCGTTACTTAGCGTTGTTGTCACATGGCCGTCTAAAGTAGCTCTTATCAATAAATGAAGGACTCCAAAGTCATTGTAGGCTTATTTACATTTAAATTTGTAACTACTAAAACTTATGACTTCACTGTTTCCTAATAGTGTACCATCACCGAATGTTATTTCACCGCCACCTTTGTCTCTAATAATTAAGTAATGAAACTGTTTTAATGAATCATATATACAACTGCTGTAAAAAATAAAATGACTCCATCCGCGCGAAATCAAAAAAAAACAATTGCAAGTAGTATATGTGCTCTTCCAGACTATCCTCTACATCTATGCTAAATTTCATCGAAATCTGTTCAGCCGTTTAGACTACAAATTCTAACAAACATCCATCCATCTATATGTCGCATTTATAATGTTAAATATGATAAGATACTTACAGGCGATGGAAAGTTTCCCAATCGCCGTTAGCCGCAGCAGCATTAATTTCATTTTGATCGAATGGTGCTCCTGAAAAATAGATACAAATAATATTGGTTTAAAAATCGATAAAGAATAATCTCTAAAATAAGCTAGAAAACTATTAAAATTTAAGTTTAAAAATTAGACATACTCTCTGGATAATTGGGGCTTCACTAAGTTTAATTGAATAATATCGCATAACTTTTTTTAAGTAGAACTTAGAACGATCAGTAAGACAAATAAAAAAAAAACAATTTAATGCAGTAATAAAAAGTATCATTAATTTACATGTAAAACAAACACATCTCAAGGACATTTGACATAAATATTTCGCATCAATAAGATACGTAATATTGAACAAATATTAGACGCTAATAGATTTCGGTGATAACTGGGAAGCTTGCGTATCATGGTTAAAAATAATCGCAAACGAACGTTGTGCAATAAATTGTGTATCGAAGTCCGGAATATGTTTAAAAGTGAATTAATGATTTTAATCGAGAGGTCAATGGTGGTCCGGCCGTGATATTTAGCTAAATCTTTTCAAGTTCGCGTATTGTTTTCATACATATTCAAGTATAATAAAACGCATCTATCCAAGATTGTAAAAAACAATCTAAAGTCTTGATTCGTTTATTTTATTTCAAGCTATTATTGAAAGATTATGTTCTCGTCTCTATTTTGCCTATTATTTCAACTTACAAGAGCAATAAACCAAATTTAAACAAAGTCTTCATTAGACTAACTGTGTCCTTAATAGTGGTTAACTTGTTACCGGCAGTCAAAAATACAAAACAAACTTTTCTATCAACTAAAACATCTTTATTTAAACTTATTTACAATAATTGCAAATCTATATCGCGATCATATCTTGACTTATCGTATGTCTTTAATTCTCTTGTTTTTATCATATCTTTTTAATAAAAAATAATGCAAACGTTTTGGTGGCCAGTATGTACCTCTTTGGCCTCTTATGTACCTCTTTGGCTGTAGTCGTACTGCTTGTCAGCCAAAGAGGTTGTATTTTGCACTCAACAAATAGAACACAAATAATTATATCAACAAAGAAAATCGAGAGAAAATCTTCCACATATTTACATTTAGTGAGATGGAATTATCAAGACTATAAACATTCAACGCGTGTAAGCTATTAATTTTAATTGTTAATTTGCTGATAAAAAGGGAAATATATCGATGGAATGTAATAATAAGCTTAGAGTTGAAGATCAGGCGTACTTTATGAATGCTGTTAGACTGGATATCAAAATATGACGTCATACTGATAAGAAAGATCCGGCACGGATGAGATGCACTAACAAATGTGCATAACATGTAACAAAACATTAACACGTGTAAAATAAAATTATAATATAAAAAACCTAAGGTTAATCTATACTTCTGTACTAGTTTAATAAAGAGGAAAGATTTGTATATTTGTATGTATTAAAATAACTCAAAAACTACTGGGCGTTAGAAAGGTAATTTAGTAAGTAACATAAGCTCTTATTTCACGTGGACGTAGTCGCGAGCAACAGCTAGTTTTCAATATAGAAACAAACAAATTAGGGACTACAGGATAAATATTATAATTTATATTTCTTGAATATAAGATTTTTATTAGTAATAATACAAATAATTTGCCACTTTTCTTAAACCATGCAAGAATAAAAAAAGCTTTTGTTCCTAATATGTCTATTAATAGATATCACATGAAACAAAACGCTAAAAAATATATTGTAATCTTAAGAAACCTTTGTTTTCCTTAATATAAAAACGGCAACATGTAGTTTCCTAATACAATAGAAATAGAATGATAGACATTATGAAAAGCGTAGGCTGCTACCTACGCGGAGCTTTGGCAGACACTTATAAATAAGATAATACTGATAACAGTTGATAAGCGGTGTTTATCACCAGTATAACACTATAGGTGAAACACAATAAAGGCGTAGAGAAAGGTCAATCCTGCGATACCAATTTTTATACACACTCTACATTACAGAGATTAAGTAAAGAGTGTAACTAATTCTGGCTGTATAATTATTGTACCTTTGTCTTTTTTAATAGGTGTAACTACAATAGAGGTTATTTAATTATTGTTTAGTGGCTCTTATCTTCAATAATGATTTATAATGACGTTGCATGATTTATAACGACTTTAAATCGCTTTCATTGTGCTGTTAAAGATTGGATTGAGTTTTGTTTGTTCATATTTTTAGTTCATCTTATAGGTGCGAAGTCGTATAAAAAGATGCGTAATTAAATTGTTGTTTAATTGTATGGTGTCCATAATTTTATGGTGCGAAATATCGTAATCATGCGTCACAATCAAGTTAAACTTATATAGTGAAAACTAGTATTAAAAGTAGTATTAAATAAAAGGCGTAATAGATTAAAGTTCAAAACATAATAAACGAGGAAATCACGCAAACAAATTGGGTGAATCTATTTTGTACTTTGTTGCTATGTAATAGAGTTTGAATTAAGAATAAATGTTGATTTGATTTGATTAGTAATCGGATAAAACATTTGATGTTTGTAGTACTGCTGCATTTTATTGACAACTATCTTTCACGAGTCTGTCCGCGTGGAATTAAAAAAACAACAAAAGTGAGTAGCCTATATGTTCTTGCAGACTATACTCTTCATCTATACCTAATTGCATCAAAATCCGTTAAGCCGTTTAGGCTACAAACTCTAACAAACATCCATCCATCTAAACTTTCGCATTTATAATATTAATAAGATAATGTAATATTTGTTAATGGCATTTGAAGTACGAGACCAAAATAAAATCCGGGAAATGATGATATGATATGTTGTTTTTGAGTATTTTGTTTCCGCTGCCAATATTTTGTACAATATGTACTCATCAAGTGAGTAAAACTAAAACTAACTAAAAATACTACAATTTAGTACTAAAAATTGTTTGAGTTTTATATTATTTTCTTTAAATATTTATGCCGTCATCTTTAATGAAGTAAATATTCAAAAACTTTAACGTAATTAAGAAATTCCTGCAAATTATTAAAATTTTAGGTTAAATTAGGTATTAATTTCTTATTAAAATATTATTCGATTTACCTTCCACGCTGAAGAAAAGAAATCCAATAATAAATATCACGGGGCACAGCTTCATTTTTATTAAAAAAAAAATAAACAAAATATACGTTAATAAACTTCCGAGACACGGTGGACTATCGTACGGTGTGAATTTTCGCGCTATAATGTAAAGCGGCGAGGTCTCTCCTGCCTTATATCACACGCGAATAACCGCCATCAAAGGGGCTATTCTCAAATACAGATAAAATAACGATTTTCTTTTTTTTCTTTTAAAATTCAAATCCAGCCAGTGTTGCAATTTACATGCGATAATAACTACAAGAAGACAAAAATACACTCATTTTACATATTATTTTTGATGTAAAGAAAATTACTTATAATATCCTCTTAGCGGCAAAATTTTGAAAAAAAAAAGAACAGTACTCATTAAAGCAAACGTTTTATATTGAACGTGTATAAATTTTTCATAACTTTTTGAAAACCACACAAATGCAATTTCATTAGACATTTATAACCTAAGTAATCACAATGTTACGAATAATTTTCCATTTGTCCTAATATGAGAGTATCATGGAATCCTACATAACTATAGTTTATTAGCTGTCGCCCCCGAGTTCGTCCGCACGGATTAAAAAAAAACTATTTATAGTCTATATGTTCTTCTAGACTATGTTCCTACATCTGTGCCAAAATTCATTAAGAGCCCTTTCGGAGATACATATATACAAACATCCATCCATCCATGTAAAGCATTTATAATATTAGTAAGACTACAAGATCATTACAAATATTTACTATTAGCAACTAATCGATTATGTATAATAAATTTAGAGAAATCAAGCGAAAAAATACAAGCACAGCCCATCAATCACGTTGTCCTGTAATTTATGGAGATTATTAATATTATATTTATGCTTTAAATTCAATGTGGAACAATCGTTTCCATTGTCGAAACATCTATACAAAACATATAGTTGTTTCACTTTATTGAAGTAAAATATAAGGGATGACATATTCTTACAAGTGTTTCGGAAGTGGATACTTTTTTCCTTCGCGGTTATCTTACTTCTTACTAATATTATAAATGCAAAAGTTTAGATGGACGGATGGCTGGATGGATGGATGTTTGATACAGTTTGTAGCCTAAACGGCTAAACAGATCTCGTTGAAATTTGGCACAGACGTAGAGGATAGCCTGGAAGAACACATAGGCTACTAACTTTTGGTTTTTAATTTCACGCGGAGGGAGTCGCGGGTGAAAGCTAGTATGAAAATAAAAATGTCGTTCAGAAAAAGCAGTGATAAAAAGCAAACTTCAATGCAATAAATACTTTATTTCTAAATTCCTTGTTATTAACAAAACCATCTTAGTTTAAATAATAAAACTATGAAGAAAACATTAACAATTAATTTATTATGTTCTGCTAGTACCCGATGAGCTCATAGAATGGAATATATCCATAGTACAAAGGTATGTAGTTGGCTGGCGCTTCCTGTAATTTAGAAATTATTTTTAATAGTGATATTCAGTTGGTACAATACTATCCAAAATTTACGGCAGCTCGTAATATCAAAGCCGTTGGACAAAATACAATTTTAGTTACATAAATTGTAGGTATTAGTAGAAAGTAAAATGGTGCGAGATTGACTTCATCCTCATCTTGCCAATCTAGCTGTGAAAACACGCTATCAGTTCATGACAAGCTGCCATAAAATTTGAATCATGTTATACAGACTTCATAAACCTCAACAAGGTACAAGATGCGTTTAGATAGAAGTAAGTAATAATGATTAATTAGTAGTTTAGGGTTCAAGTTAAACATATTAACATTAAGAACAAAAGACTGACCGAGTTTCCATTCCTTTAGGACTGTCAAACAATGTTTAGATGACTCAACATTTTCTCGCTCAGATTAACTTTGTACATTTTATTACTACAGTAGTACCTCGATAACTCAAACCACGGTAACTTCAAAAAATAATATGTTCCCTTCCCATCAGAGCCCAAAACATAGACCATTGATAACTAAAACCTCTATAACTTAAAATATTTTGTGTTTCCCTTGGACTCTAACTTATCGAGTTTCTACTATATTATAAGTGCGAAAGTTTAGATGGACTATGTTAGAGTTTGTAGCCTAAACTGCTGAACGGATCTCGATTAAATTTGGTACAAATGTAGAGGATAGTAAGTATACATTGGCCACTAGTTGCAAATGACTTGAGTTTTAATTTAAGTTTAATAAACGCTTGTGTATAAACCAGTAAAAATCGATTCGTAATGACTTTTGTTACAATAACGTGATATTAAATGTATTAAAATAAATACGGTTGCTGTTATAATGTTCGTAAGATACGGGTTTCTTACCACGATTGAATTGTTTTAGTTCCCGATATTTCGGCACAGTTGCATGCGCCATGTTCACCGTGTAACCCTTTTTTTTTTTTTCACTCTACCGCATCACTTCAGTCAGCCCGTGAACATGGCGCATGCAACTGTTCCGAAATATCGGGAGCTAAAACAATTCAATCGAGGTAAGAAACCCGTACCTTACGAACATTATATTTGTAAAAACCACGACAGTTTAAAGTTATATAACGGTTGCTGTGTTAATTTAATAAGAGTCTTTATAAAGACTAAGTTCAAAGATTGCGGTGCTTATAAATTATTTTATTGATAAGTACAGGATCTTACCATGTTCTCTTTCATATATTTTTGTGAATCCGAAGCTTCAGGTCCCTTATTGGCATTGTCCTAGAAAATTAATTAAAATCTGACATATTAAAAGTATAAAATATTTTTAATACTTTACCATGGTATTTTTTTAAAAACTTTATTTAGCTAATTTCAGCATATTAATTATTTTTAAAAGTTATGTTGAAATGTTTCGGTTTTATTTACATTTACTTACAAATTCTTCCTGTCTGTTCCTGTAACAATAAAACTTTCATTTATGTCTTTTATTTATTCAGATATGACGGCTGATAGAGATGTATAGAAGAGCAGCAGATACTGTGCAGACCCTCCATAAGGGATAAGGGCAAGTTGATGATTTATTGAAACAATTAAGGAAATGATAACTAATGTTATAAATGCGTAAGTATACACAAAACGGCTCACAGGATCTTACTAAAACTTGGCACATATGTAGGACATAGTTTGAAAGAGCACAATTTTATTTTAATGAACGTTTTTTAAGACAAAGTCGCGGGTGAAATATAGCAATTTCTAAGAACACTTACTCCGACTTCTTACTTTCTTCGCCTTGATTTTTAGATTCCTCTTCAGCTGTAAATTTTTTACATAATTTAAATTAACAAATAAAAATATTACAATTATCATATCAAAAAACATGTAATTTACCTAAGACGTAGACAAACAACGCAATAAAACATAAAGTAACAAGTAATTTAGACATGATTACTAAGGAATGCTAAAAATTGTCTAATTTAACACTTAACTACCACTGCAAAAAAAACTAATGCAAGTGGAAGAATCTGTATCACTATATTTATTGGATTAAACGACCTTGCAAAATTAGTTACGGGCAAAAACAAAATTTTTCCTTGTCAATAATACTATGGTAACATGACTTTGATCTTTGGAGATCCGCATAATTTTAAAATATTCTATTCAACTTTTGTTTTATGTGTCGAATAGAATTAATAACTATATTTAGGTTCTTTTAAAGCGCGCACACCTTTGACTAAACTAACGCACGACTGTTTAGTCGCACTTTGATTCCTATAAGCTTACGAATATATAGAGGTTCGCACACTAGTCGATTTCTAGTTGTGCTACTAAATAGTTGAATCAATCGACAAACAGTTGTGCGATAATTTAGTCAATGGCGTGCGCCCGTTCTTACTTATAAATCAAGAAAGTAGAAATACATTTCACATTAGATGAAGTTAAAGAATGGTTAGTTATTTTTGACCGACTTCCCAAAAGAAGGAGGTATTCAATTCGACCGTATGTTTTTTTTTTTTTTTTTTTTTTT